TCATAATTTCATAGTTGATATATTTATCAAACAAAGATAACACATTCCATCCCCCTTTCTCAAAATCATTCCGGACATAACTAACCGTAGAAAACACTCCGGTATAAAAGCAGAATGGTATTTATATAAGCAGTGTATGGTTGCGAACAAATATAAATTCTGGACCATAGTCATTTGTAACAGTAAATAGTACAGGACCTCCTAAAATCAGTGGAAGTATATATGGTACTCGACCATAGAAGTCAGTGCCAGTATACATGGTACAGGACCTTAGTAATAGGTGACAGTATACATTGTACTGGACCATAGTTATAGGTGGCAGTATACATGGTACAGGACCATAGTATTAGGTGACAGTATACATGGTACTGGACCCTAGTTATAGGTGATAGTACACATGGTACTGGACCATAGTTATAGGTGACAGTATACATGGTACAGGACCATAGTAATAGGTGACAGTATACATGGTACTGGACCATAGTTATAGGTGACAGTATACATGGTACTGGACCATAAATTCCTTTTTGACAATATTTATGGAACTTGACCAAACATAACGCTACCTATTACGAGTTCGTAATCATAATTTCATAGTTGAAAAAAAATATCCTCTAGGCAAGATCCACAAACGGAAAGTCCTTTAGGTATACCAATCTGTCCTTTTCCTTTTCCTTCTGCAGCATCTTCCAACGCCTGTTCAACAGGGCTGCCCGTACCCTTTTCAAGTTTAAAGGCTGCTTTTAAAATGTCAGCGCGATAATGTACCGTTTACCTTGCACCCCTCCGGGAAGACGATGAACTGCAGTAAACAGCTCTCCGTTGGTAAAACTCTCCTCCATCTGTAACCTTCCCTTGAGAAATAACCTCATTGCTCTCTCTGTATCCCTTGGGTTTTCTCTAATGTCACCCTTCACCCCTCGGAAAACAAGATTCCATTTTCTGCCCCACGTGTCTAATTAAGGTATTTCATACATGCCTTTGTCAGTGTATATAGTATGTGATGGGCTCATAACTTTTCTTCAAAATGAAAACATATGGAAGTTGGTTGGTATACCCATGTCAGGAAAAATGTCAAGAATGACCTTTGCAGAATTTTGTCTGAAAAGTAACTTTTAGATGCAGAATTTTAGTGGCGCAAAATTGCATTGAATATTATAATTCATGAAAACACTTACCTGTACATGCATTTCTGAAGTATCCGTGTATTGACTATTATCCAGAACAGTGTAAGAAAATACTTCAAATCTTAAGAATGATGGCATGTATTTTCATTGGATATTTTATAATAATTCATGAAGCCAACAAGGCTATTGATACAAGTCAAGCCAGCTTACCTGAGTGACAACCTGAATGTGTTTTGAATGGTATACAGGTAAAATCGCACTTGCTTTGCATGCTTTTCCCCCAACTTCAGGCAGCCTGTTGGCTTTATGCTCAGTTGTGATTTATTCAGTGGAAATATATGCAATTATTCTGGAGATTTGTTACATTTTCTTACATTTTTCTCGATAATCAGGTTAGGCACAACGGCGCATATGGGTAATAATCCTGCATTTGGGTAACATCTTTGTATGTTATGGTTGAATGCACTTCGAATCTACTTTCACTATCCTATATAAAAAATCAAAATTTTGTACTTCACTTACGTTATTGAAAATCACCATATCTATTGGTTATTACAAACAATTTTTGGTTGAACAGTTTTCGGTTTTGAAAGTATTTCACGACCTTTGAAGCCTTAGAAAAGTCGGGAAATCTAAAATCACGAAAATGTCAAAACACGAAAACACGTTCAACCAAAAGTTGTTTATAATAACCATATAAATTGCGATTTTTAAGAAAGATAGTGAAATACAAAATTTTGATTTTTTTTATATAGGATAGTGAAAGTATATTCGAAGTGCATTCAACCATAACATACAAAGATGTTACCCAAATGCAGGAGTATTACCCATATGCGCCGTTGTGCCCAACCTGATAATAGTCAATAAATGGATACTTCAGGAATGCATGTTCAGGTAAGTTTTTTCATTAATTCCATTATTCATTGCAATTTTGCGCCACTAGAATTCTGCATTCAAATGTTACTTTTCAGAAAAGTCAACATTATTTTCAACAAATAATTTTTGCAAAGGTCATTATTGACATTTTTCCTGACATGGGTAAACCAACCAACTTCCACATTTTTATCATTTTGAGGAAAAGTTATGAGCCAATCTCATACTATATACCCTGACATGAGCCTGTATGAAATACCTTAAATTCTTTCATTTTCTTCATCGGTAATTTTACCTTCAAGGTTAGTAATAGTCTTCTCATGGAGGTCTTCAAAAGAGGAGTTTGTATGTTCCGCAAAATGTTAGAGTGACTAACTGATACCTTCAGCTTGCTTACATCACTCTGTACCCCTAGTACCTGACATTGTAGCCTAGCGAAACACTTCCCTATGCCCTCGAACCCCTTACACTATACAAAACTCGATGTATCGTGCTCCGGTTCAACACTACCCCCGTGTGGGGCCCCGCCGCTAAGTCCCTAACCGACTAGGTCGACCGGTGCACTTTCACCTGTACGTGACATGGCTATCGTATAGCGCACGTGCAATTCAGTAAACAACAAACAGGGTCAGCCGATATTGTAGAACAGTTCCGTAAAAACTACACACCAGCGCACGACTTACACTTCAGAGTGACACTTGTGACTTACTCTAAGTAAGAACAGTTTTTGGGTCTGTAAGAGCAGGTTTAACTCACCCCCTCATCGTTCAGCCATCAAACCGGAGGTCATTTATGATTTTTTTTTATATATATAGCAACAGTGACCTTGGCCTTGACCTTGGAACCCTGAAACACAACAATGTCCGAAGTATACTCATACTTGACCTTTGCATAAAGTTTGACCAAAATCCATGAAAGAATGAAGTTGCTAATTGTTTACATTGAATCGGGATCGGGACGGGACGGGACGTACATGGGTATCACTATATGCNCCCCCCCCCCCCGCCCTCCCCCATTTTATGGCGGGGGCATACAAATGTAAAGAATGTATTGCTATCAATAAGATTAAGGTAACATTGTATAACTGAAAATAATTGTAATACAAAATGTAGTCAGGGAGTGCCCTTTAGACTTTTAAATTTAAACTATTGTACTGGTGTCGACTTTTGACGTAGAACGGCGTACATGCATATATATATATATTGAAGATAATTGCACGATACAAGTTCAGAAACGACTAGACGCTTACAACGACGGTGTCAACTGCAATGAACCAATGAACCAATTAAATGAAACTCCCTTATACGTAAGGTAGCGCACCGTATCTATTACAACATCGTGCAAAACCAGATTGTATCACGATTATGTATTGTTCGGACATAAAACCGTGCATTAACTCTGAACTGATGTATGCAGTCGAATGACGAATAGGGATTCTGTCGCATGACTAAGTCATTGTAATTGAATGGCATATAATGTTCAGTGCCACCAATTAAATGACTATGAAAGGAATCACTGTTACATAGCGCAAACGGTACTTGTTTTGAATTTCTTTCTTACAAGGTTGTTTGTTTCACTTCTAACATATATTTTGGGGACAGGACAAAGGTTTACAAATGTGAAGGTCAGTGTGTGCGGCGGCCGGGCTTACACGTTCACCTACAATGTATCTACCTGACGAGACAAGTGATAACATTTTTTACCAACTATACAGATTTTTAATATCAGCTAAAGGCGACTAATGTTGGAACCCCCTGCAGAAATTGGGGATTTGCTTTTGGTTTCTCTATTTGGGGACACAAAAGCGACTAAAATAAATCTGCTGCACCAATTGCAATAGTTTGGATTTTAATACTTCTCTCTATTTTTAACTAGCTTTTATTTCCTTACGCATTGCTTGGTAATACCTCGCTTTTGGCTTTAATGTTGAACGTTCGCCCAGGTGGGGAGGGCAATGGGTTCTGTCTCCAGGTCGGGACATACCAAAGTCCTTACAAATGGTATTTGTTAGTCCCTGTGTAACGTTGAGTAATCAGGGTAATGACAATAAATGGTTCAACCGTTGTCAGGTCAATGTGACCGGGCGGAATGCTGTGCTGGGTGCCTTCCTTCGGCAAATTTGTTCAGTGAGATAGCACTCTAAAGTCGGCATCAGATCCGCGCTATTACAAGAAGGCAAATACACCAACGTATCATGTCCCCAGCACACATACACAGCACGCATACACAACACACATGGAGGCACGTCCTTAAACAATCTTAGCCGTTAATAGGACGTTAAACAAAATGAAACCAAAACTAAACCAAACTTCTATGTTCCTGTAAAATGGCAATTCATTGTTTAATATTCAATAGAATTATCATTAAGAGTGTGCGAGTTTAATAATAACAGTGAAGAATATGTCTGACCTCGCATGACATTAGCCAGAATGTAGCAACACACTTCAATCTTCCCCCTTATTTTCGCATTGTGGAACTCGACGTCCAAGGCTCCTACGACATTTTATATAGTAAACTAATCTGGAGTCTTCCTAGGCCGATACGTTCCCTAACATGATGGTGTGTCGCGTTGTCTTATGTTTTGTAAAAGGCAGTAAGTCGATAAAAAGAGTATCAACCAAATGTCTCAATATTGCATCCTGATGTGCCCCATGCAAGCCTTTTCACCCCAACCCCACCTCGATGACGCTATCGGCGCCAAATGGTCACGTTCGGTGATTTTCCAGCCTGCAAAACGTTCATTTCGACGTCACAAAACTCGCTGCCTTCATTAACATGGGTTATGCAGACGCCAGACTTCTATCGTCGCTGTGACCGCCATTAACGGTTCGTGCGACGACTTCAAAACATAGCGGGATTTGATGAAATAGATCGATTGTTATGACATATTATTAAAAGCAAGCGGAACCATAAGGCGGGATTATACACTGTTTCCATAGTTAAAAGAAGAAAGAAGATATGCTAAATACAATGCATTTAGAAGTTACATATACTTCTCACCTGTATATCTGCCGGACAAAATAGACAGTTCACGCTCCCGTCTCTTATTAAACCTGGATGTAATAGTTGTAGAAGCGTTTACTGTTTCCATTAGCTACCAACACGGGGCCGGTGTATTTTCTTTTGTGCATGTGTTGTAACCGGTTATATGATTTTTCTGCGAGTCCCGAATATGTTAAGCTATAAAAGTGGTGGTGAATTTAGAGGCAAATCTAAGATATGCTAAATACATTACATTTAGAAGTTACATATAATTCTCACCTGTATATCTGCCAGACGAAATAGACAGTTCACGCTCCCGTCTCTTATTAAACCTGGATGTAATAATTGTAGAAGTGTTTACTGTTTCCATTAGCTACCTACACGGGGCCGGCGCATGTCTAGTTTTAAAATGAATAGGAACGACGCCTTTTAAATAACGATATATTGCTATTCATTTGTGCATGTGTTGTAACCGGTTATATGATTTTTCTGCAAGTCCCGAATATGTTAAGCTATAAAAGTGGTGGTGAATTTAGAGGCAAATTACAGTGTCTCTAGGATCTTGTGTGACATAATTTTTTCTTTCCTCTTGACTTGACAGTTTAAGGGCTTTATATAGAAATCAAGTTACAAATATGATGGATACAAATATCTACTTGTATGTTGGACGAGGAAGTCGCCGAGATTTATAGTTAAAGCAGCATATAAATGCCTTTTTATGAATGCCCTCTCTCTCTCTCTCTCTCTCTCTCTCTCTCTCTCTCTAGCTTGTGTGGTGTTTTTTTGGTATATAAATAACCCAATCCGTATCCGCCTGATCATGTACCAAACACCTCCTTGTATGTATTGAACATATTGAAAGGAAATCCAGTTGATGACTCACACACTACGTGAATGTATAAATACATGTGCGATGAGCCGGTTCTTTAAAGATCTGATTGCCTGGACGCTTTATTAGATAAGCCCTGTTGCATGGGGAACCTGATTGTGTAGACCCAGAGGCGCACACAAATATGTTTTAGACAGATTGGGGAGCTGGGGAAAACTCTTTTGGGGTTAGCGCATGCGAATTGGGTATAACTGTCTCTGCAGTTGTAAGAAAACAGAAATTCATATTGAAGTTAAACCTGTTAGCTTAATGAATTAACTTAAATGTCAAATTTTCACAAAAGTTACTTATCAGTTGTAGACGGACAGATACATTCAAAGAGGGTTTGTAAATAATGATAGGCATTTAAAATAACTTAATTAAAATGACAACCCGGGTGAGAAATCGTGCAAAACATATGGGCATAGGTTATATAATGTTGTTTGAAACGTTTAATATGTAAGACCACAGTTACCTTAAAAGAAAGTCAAGTGTTCCACAACCGTTTAAAGTATCTGCTGGTCAAATATTAAGACTACTTTGCACAGGTGGTACATACAAATAGTTGATACACTACTGACGTACGATATCACTGCGAGGCAGGTGAGTCAGATATTTGATATACAATAAAACGAAGGAACTTGAAACTAAATAAAAAGACCACAACAGGATCCGAGAAGAGACATATAAACAAACCAGTGTTCAAAAATTACTGAAACTGTGATAGCCGTTGCGGAAAGTTAAACGCATTTTACCTCATATTATGTAATACCTTTCGTAACGTCTGTCACCTTGTTGAAGGTCAACAGCTTTCTAAACTCCAGTGAATCTGTTTTAAATTATTTATGCATTAGAATACTTTAGCACGAAAACCGGAACGCACTGCAAGATACAGTGATAGATCTACAGTGTCGGCCCATGAAAAACAATCTAGTTTGCACTGGGTTTGGAGGAGAGGTTAGAAATGAGGATTCAGAATCCCTTTTACGAGACTTTATATTCAATGAGCTCAGTCTGGATCACAGAATAGAATTTGGGAATGTGCACAGGTTTGGACGTCGTGTACGCGGGAAAAATCGTCCTGTTGTGGCCAGGTTCTTGTATCAGCATGATCTACAGTTGGTCAAAAGCAACTCCTATAAGCTGAAGGGGACCAATTTCGGAATACACGAACAGTACCCAGCATCGGTAGAGGACCGTAGATCAACGGTCAGTTGTACGACGAAAACCAGGGAAATGATGGTCAGNATCAACGCAACCCCACGATGGTCACAGCGAGGCGGCCAACAGGCGTAACGGACAGCTGCAGTCTGGCTACAGGAATGATGTCCACGCGTTATCTAGCAACGATTCCCGACGTCCTCACATCGCTAATCCGTCACAGAGAGTGCCGCAACGACCCAACGTATCGAGGTCTACCGCACCTTACCATGGCAGTTTATAGGACATAGAGGAGAGTGAACTATCGTTACTTTCCTGGAACGTGTGTAGGGGACTAATAGACAAACTTGATGACAATGATTTCTGTAATGTTATTTCAAAATTCGACATTTCATCAATATCAGAGTGTT